TTTTATTTATTCAATTGTTCTATTTTTACTTGTATTTTATTTCACTATTATTTCATTTCAGGTTTATTTTGGTTAATATAATTATTATTTTCAGCTATCTCATTTTTAATTCTTCTTTTTTAGTTGTTTCAGAGATTTCAAATCATTTTATATAGTAGACAATGGAAGTCCGAACTAGTGAAATTCAATAATATCCTATTTAAATTTTTGTTGAAACATTTTTTATATTATGTAGGTTACAACGTGGGGTACGAGAAAAATGTTCAAATGGTTGAAGGAAACTTACAATAATCCTGAAATTTTCATAAGCGAATATGGTTATTCTGATAACGGAACAACTTTAGAAGACAATGAGAGAATTAGATTTTCTAGGGTGAGTACTTTGAAACGAAAAAATATCAAAGGTGGAAAGTTTTTTTTGAAGCCTCATTTGAAGGAATACTGAAGTGTTTATTGAACATAACTTCAGCCTTCCAGACTGTTTCTTGTCAAAACTAAATATTTCTATATATCGCGACAGTACTGAAGTTTTTATCAAGTTTTTCACCAAGATACTCGACTGAGAATGAAAATCTGATAAACTTCCGATTCTTGACGAATTTTTGTACCATTTCCTCATATGCTCCATAAATTTATGTTGGTAGATCAAAACATGTGATGATTTGTTGATTCTTCTCAATGAGTATTTTTTCATGTTGCCAATACGAACCCCCAACGGTTTCTGGGTTTACTGATATATGACTCGCCTGATAGTATCTGGTTAATGCAATTCTTGGAGTAGTTCACGTTTAATGTATGTGTCTGAGTTTTTGTGAGACTGTTATGCAGACCCGGATCTAGGCGTGGGCAAGCCAGAGCCTATGCCCCAGGCGGCAAGTTCAGAGGGCGACCAAATTCACACTTCACAGACGAATGGACAACTCATCATTCACCTAACTTTGACCTACATTAGGCACGAACATTGTTATTCTCGAGGCGCTTAGGCATAGTTCAAAATATGCGCCTGCTCGCCCGCAGGAGAGCAAGTTACACTTTTATTCGGTGTAATAGAAAAGGCTAACGGTTTGTATCGCTTTCAGCATATCTATGCGCATTATTTGCAGGATGCTTTTCCTAATATTTGTATTGCTCTGCGAATTCACTTTACGATTTCTTTTACATACGCAGCTTGCGGATGTAGAATCGTAAAGTTATTTGCGATCTCTTATCGAGTCTTGCATTCTAGCCATAGATTTATTTTTTTCATTCTATATTCAATATGAATTTCTATAAAATGAATAGGACATCAATCGAACGAAAGTGAAATTGTAATTTCAAATCACAATATGCCATAATATATTTGAACTTCATTTTTATTATACATATTTTTATTTCAAATCCTATCCTGTGCTAGGTGCAGGACATAGATTCATGTAAATGAATAGGCTCAACACAGAAAGAACAGTAATGAATGTTTTATTTCCGGAAGACCTATGACCAAATGTTAATCAATTGGTGGATATCTGAAAGCTGAAATCATAAAGATAATGAAGGTGAAAATAAATATAAGTGGGCGGAGGCGGCATTTTCCAGTTTTGGGTGGTATGCTTAGATTTTATGTAGATTCTTCCATATAGATCTGGAACTCTGTATCCCCTTTAACAGTCCTCTGACCCTAGAAACAGTAAGCACTGATTTTGGGGGATTTCTCTCCAAGACGGTGTCTATTCAACTAACACAAATAAAGTCTTGATGATTCATCTTCCTGGGTAGATTGATGGTGATTGGATTCAGGTACTGTCCTGCATGAATATATTTTCGTTTCAGTGAATTCAAGTACATCTTGTAGTTGCTTGAATAGAAAATATATTTTCGATTATACAAAATTCCATATTTTATTCTAATTCGGCTCACAATGATGAAATTGTAATATACATTGAAAGGTTTATGCTCATTCTGAAAATTTTGATGAGGAAATGGAAAAGAAAAAGTGTACTTTTTTTTTATTCCATGATATTCGCTGAAAATGATCCTCCATTAACTGAAATGTACGAAAGCGTAATTTATTTTTTATTTCCAATCTCTGTATGACAGATTACAGAAACATGACGAAACCATATACTTTCAATCAATTCAATGTCAATTTCTATATTTCAGATGTATTTAAGTGCATTCCATGATGCTATCTACAAGGATGAAGTCAGAATTTTTGCTGCATTGACTTGGAGTCTGCTTGACAACTTTGAATGGTCATTTGGATACAGGTATTACCACAGTCACACATTTTCGCTGAATCTTTCCAATTTCTAATAAACAATACTTCTTCAGAAGTTGTGCGTCAAAAAAAAATCGAAAACTTTCACTGCACAGCATGCTACACGAATTTCTATAGATCAGCAAAGCACTTTACAAATATGTATCAAAAAATATACATTGGTAATGAGTTATCGTGAAAACTTATCATGCATCGGAAGAGGTTTCTAAATGCTAGAGAAATACACTTTTTCGAAAAAATAATGATCAAATACTTGAAGCAATAGGTGATGAAACGAAGAAGGGATGATTAGGAACTGTCATTGCTCAGTAAAACTCCCAAATCTCCAACGTTTGATAATCATCGTGGGCCACATAGCTTTCAAATTCAAGACAGTTACTGAAGTCAACATTTGGTAGTAGGAAGAAGAGGCTCCTGTACTTGCTATCTCTTCAATATTAGGTACTGGAAACATTACAGAATATGTGGGATCTGATAAGAAGAATGATCGCAAGTACAGGCCTCGCTCAAATGTTTGAAGAACACCAACCTGCATGAAATTCTCTAATAATCGCTGAATTGGTAGCCAGATTATGATACGAGTCTCTGAAAGATGTTCCAAAAAGGGTAGATCAAGTATCCCACAGTTTGCAAATGATATGATGTGAGTTATCTGCATCAGAGGCAAAATGGGGATCGCAAAATAATCGACAGAAAAATGATAAAGAGTCAACACGTTGGAACATGTTTCGACTTTAGATTCTCAATGACCCAAGATTTTTAACTTGACCTAAAAAATTTTGGACAGAGTCTATTGGCCCAGATTAGCTGTATGGGAGACTATGACTATGCATATTCAGTATTTACAAGGTAGCTTGTAACTCACTTTTTCGACAAGACATTATACAGGTATCTGGAAAACTTGGTTATCAAAATAGTAACGGGCCAAACAAAAGCCATAATTGGGATATTTTCAGTCGCCGATGTATAATCAATTAGACATCACTCCAGACATCACTCCTATTCGCCAAGCAGAAATTGATAGGTAATATGTTTGATACCATGCTCAGAAGAGGTATCATTGGAGAGAGCATTTCATAGTTCTCCAATAGTATTACTGACGAAGAACGCATTAACATGTGTCTGCAGCCAGCTTATTGATGTCAGTAACAACTATTCCATTAGATTGATCCAACCAAAATACGTTGGTTCTGAAAAGTAGTTACTGAAATCGAAGATCATTCCGAAGTCGAAGTCGAAATCGAATTTCAGGCTGGATATGGACGAGTTCAAAGCCTCTATAGTAGGATTATGCAAAACTCTGGCCACTTTTGAAAGGTTAGTGAAACTGATTGTGGCAGGTCTTACACGAATAACTTGTTCTGCCTATCTGAATGATGAAATTGTGATAGAAAAAACTAGTTGATGATCACCTCAAGTATCTTATAGAGATATTACCAAAACAAGCTGAACCTCAAGAAGGGTTCATTTCAAAATGAATTCAGCACAGTTGGCCTGGATTAGAAGTTATAAATCACGAAATCAGCTTTTCGGGATCATGAACGTACTAAAAAAATTTAGGGTGACTGAATCACAGAAAGCACACTATAGAAAATATCATCCGATTCGATTGGACATCTCAATGCTGAAAGTTTTTACCTCAACTGAGATGGAGATAGGAGACTTTATTCTGCACTTCCAGATAGCAGCTTTCACCTACTGCGAAGTTCCTAGACCAAATTCATACATACAAGTGTACAGTGCTGTTCAGAAGTTCATGAACTCAAAAGACCTAACTTGCAAAGTGATTCGAAAACCTTCAGTGATATAACTTCCAAATAACTCATTTCAGTCGTATATACAAGCTAAATATTTAATGCAGGGTACTATTAGGAACTCCAAAACCTTCGAAGTCAGAAGGTTGATGAAATTACAAAAAAATTGCGTATTTCAAAGGTCAAGTAAACAGTGTACCGAAATTGAGAAAAAAACACGATTTTTCAAGATATTCGAAAATTTAAATATTATCAATTGCAGTTTAAAATTGAAAGAAAACGCAACAGGGTTTTTTCAACATTTCATACACACTTTCATTTGGTGTCATAAAATTCAAGTAGAGCATTCAAATCTAAAAGAAAGAAACACGTGTCCATCTTTGAAAAAAAGAGTTGAAAGTGGCCAATATAAAACAGAATGTCTTTGGAAAAATGTTCAACACCAAATGAGTATGTATATAAAATATTCAAAAAAATTACTATTTCTATTTCATTTTGGTAGATGAGAACTCTAAGTCGAATATCTTAAAAACGCCTAATACTTTTTCCGATTTCTATACGCCGTTTATTTGACTTCAAATTCAACCAACCTCCCAACTCTAAAGGTTTTCGAAAACTTGAAAAATTAGTCGAAAAAATTCGTGGATTCTGTTAACACTACATAGCTCTTAAATCTTTTTCCAATGAACGATTACAATAAAAATATATACAAACTTAAGAAAGCTTACTGCAAAATGTTGTTCTGTATCAAAGTTTGCTATCTACATAGAAATAGAATTGGTTCATTCTGCACACTTGTCACATGAACTATTGAGAAGGTATAACAACACTTTTGTTTCATAGACAGACATTGAGATACATTTTTTTTAAAGCGCACACTTTGGCCTTTTTTACATCGACCAAAATGATCCCAACAAAACGAGGATTAGGAAGAAGTCAGCACATTTTTACAAGAAGTTAACAGCTACAGGTCGTATACCAGAGGATTTGCACACATAAATGGCTTGCAGAGAAAATTTTACCATTTTATTTGTGAATTATTTCGAATAAACAGATCATACTTATTCAAGTTCTATTTACTTCCATTCGGTGAAATTTCTAATAATTATGAATACCAATATTGCTTTATATAAATTTTGACATCGACAATATTGAGTTGTTATAGAGAAGAAGATGATATTATGGAACAAGCGACTAACTCATATTTGAACAAACGTATGTTCGCATTGAAATTTTCATATTTTTCATAATCTGTTTAGCACACTGGTATTTCCACACCCAAAAGAGAACTGTGAGAAGGCACAAAAACTAGAGAATACAATTGTGTTTATGTGTGTTTTTAACTTTTTTTTTGTAAAATGTATTTGTATTACATTGAGAAAAAAATTATATTTCAAATATATCTCGGTTTTTGGTCGAAGTTATCTCAGTATTGGAATCACTTTTTTGTTTTAGGTATAAGTTATTCCTACTTATGTTGAATAAGTCCTTGTATTGTTTTATATTTTTCTGAACATCAGTACACTTAACGTCATTTCTCATTTTTGACAATAACCCTGTATTGCATGAATTGTTGGAATTTGAGAATTTGTCTTTTACTTTCGTTTCTAAAGTTGTCCTTCGAATGTCGAGTTAATGAAAACAGCTATAGAAAGAAGAAACATTTGTTTTTACATGTAAAACGAATATAAACCCTTAACAATTAACAAAACTAACTATTAAGTACTATTCCTTGGCATAAAAATAGGAATTTTTATGACGAAAAGTATGAAAAAGGGTAACCAATATTACTTGAAGTTTACTCACTCTCCGCATGCTCCACCTTTTGCCCTTTTTTAAACTCTTGAAGAAGCTCAAAAGATCTGTTTGTTTTTCAAACGATATTTTTGCACTAGGTCTATTATTTCCTTCGTTATTTTTTTAAGTGATCATTATATTTTTGAAAGATTCTGTATCGAAAGTATCTTTATAATAAATTGAATTTGGATCCTCTTTGGTGACACGCAATACTTTTATAGTAGCCCAAAGTACTTTCTCACCATCAATTTTTCTGATGGAGGGTCTGAAATTAGATGAGAAACTTTTCCAATCTGATATGTTAGAATATTTAATATTATTTTACTCAATAAGCTTTTCCTGTTTTTTTGCCAATTTGATAACCATTTCCATTTGTTGTGGAGTATACAAGGGCCCACTCATAAAAGCTCTCTTTTTCGCAGTTTCTATGCAGGAATGCATAGAGTCTACCTCGTTTTGGGAATGACCCGCTATAAGAAATTTATGAGTTATTGATTTTATATTATAATTTTCACAGCATAACTATACATGAAAACTATATATTTATAGTGCAAGTCATAATCTGTTTGCAATCTTTTTTTATCACTTGCTTGCAAATATTCATCGCATGAGGAGCATCGATCTTTTTTGGGTTGAAAAAATTCAATGTTAAAGCACGTGTTGAAAATATGCGAGTATATTGAATTTTTCACTACTGGTCCACCTTTAGGGCGACAGTTTCCAACGTACAGCCTATACATCTCTGCAATAGTGAGTTCTCCATCAATGAATTCCCTCTGATTATCTTTGTGACCATAATGAGATTCGATTCTGGCAAATGAATTAATGTGATCAGTAACGCCTCGTCGTAAAGATTCATCGATTTTCTTATGATTATCATGATACCCTCTAGCATCTTTTGAGACTATACCAATGTCATTTTTTCAGCAATAGCGCTACTGATAGCTGTATTACTAATATCCAAAAATTGTTGAAGTCGTTTTCTTCTTCTGGTTATTCCTCCTATTTTTTCTTTTTTTTTGGCTGCATATCATCATTGCTACTAGGATCCATGTTAGCACCTTCGTCACCCAGCGAATAATTTTCATCGACATCACTATAATCGAGTGATGTCGATTATCCAAATAACTAAACATATATGTCTGATTTTCGTTTTCTCTTCGTTGCCAGACATTTCCAGTCTAAAATAAACAAATGAACCAGTTATGAAAGATGCTAGAAAGAAAGTACAAAAAAATAATTTCGAAGCTCGTAGACGTGCTAGTTCCCGGTTTGATAACGATGCCCTCTGATGGAAAATTATCAGTATCCTAAAAAAAATACATAATTACTTCATGAATTTTTGCACCCTGTATGTTAACTCACCGTATTCACAACATTTTTTGGTGATGCGCCACATTTTGTGGCCTTTCCAAGTATTTTTCGTGTCCTATTAGACGTCGCGAAAACAAATTTCAACTCCGGTGTCATCCACTCCCTCCTGAAGTCAGCGACAAGAGACAAGTTGCAACCTGCATTTGGTTCAATACAAAGACATCTCCAAGATATTTGGAATGTTTTTGGGTTTTGAATATTAACGTGGATATATTTCGAAAAAGCAGTCATTATTAGATTGAATATTGTTTATTCGCTGTGAAAAACTGAGACATATTCGATGATGAAATACTAGGATAACTTCAAAAATGAAGATATCTTATAAAAAATATCCTTATAGCTGGGGTGAGACAACTCAAAATGTCCTACTATTTCACAGAACAAAACATTCCTATCCCTACTTGCCTACTTCCCTACTAATATTTTAAATGCGAATGTAAGTTTGTTTGTTACGGTTTCACACGAAAACTACTCAACCGATCATCATGAAATTAGAAGTAACATAGGATATTTTTTATAAAAAAAAATATTTTCAATAATCGTTAATAAAAAAATATTGTAACTATTTTTGTGAAATGGTCTGTCACGAAACTCAATGTGACAAACCAAATCCTACGCAGGCGAAGCCGCGGGTAATAGCTAGTGAAAATATGAGTCGCATATCGAACGAAAAAAACAAAACTTTTCAATATGTCTCACTATTAAATCATAAATTAAAACAAATTTAAATTGGTCATTTTTCAAGTTGTCCTAGTATTGTTCTAGCACACGATAAAAGGTAAGACCTCGTTAGTCCTTCGCTCCGCACAAGTTTCGACTTCTGAGGGTTGTCGTTCGTAGGGATGCGATAGCTGGTTAACAAAAAAACATATTTGGAACATATATTTTCATTTCATTCAAAATGTAGAAAAACACTGGGTTTGAGCTTCACCTTCATTATTTTATTGAAAACTTGAAGGGAATGGATCTCAAAATATATCTTACTGGTGTTCTATCATATGAAATAAGAAGAAAATACTTATCCCTATCAGTTGCAATAATATCTGAATCTATTTCATTGTAATATCTCATTTCACTAGGGTTAGGATAAGTGATCTATGTCAGTGCCAAAGAAGGAGAAAGAACTAGAAGGAAAGATAAACTTCAACCATGATTCTACTGTTATATCTATTTTTCAAATTTTTTTTAGACTCACTTCATGTTTTTGTTATATTTTTTGATCAATAACAATATTTCATTCCATTCCTTGAAATATTTTTTTGAATTTTTGACTACTTATTCATGTGGATTCTGAGAAGATGATTTTTCATAAAGTGATGCAACTTGTTAAGGAGTGGAAGGTTTTTGATATTATATACAGTATGTTATGGATTTCCAATCTTTCACAGATATGAAGATAACCTTTTTCTATGACTAATTGATTTTGGGTCAGTACTATCATCTTTTTCAATGAATCAATAGTTCGTAACTGGCTCAATATTGTCAAACCAGTTGAATATTCATTTCACTTCGAACGATAAAGGAAGTTTTAGAAAATTTTGATAATTAACAATTGTCTAGATTAGTGAAAAATTTACTTTAATGAAAAATTCCAACGGGAATCAGTTTCCTATGTCGTTTAGATTGTATCATGATTTTTTTTATTTCTTCTATCTACTTTAAGTACCTTAAAAAATTATTTTCAAGTTACGTACTCGCTTAGAGGCCGTGCGCGCAACCTAAAAATGACGCGTGCATGGCTATTTTCAGTATTAAATTAAAATTATAAATAATGGAGATACCGCTTCGGGAGTCAAAACTTTCTTTTAGTAAATTTCCTCCTCTTCTAGGATCTTTTTTTCAAAATTCAAAAATATCTATAGTTTACGAACACTGCTTTTTAGGGTCTTTAATTGTTTATAACTTACTTTGAATTTTTCATGAATTTTTCATGTACTAATTTACTTTTTCTTTCACAATAATCTAGACAATATTCCGGATCGAATGAGCCTAACCACTTTATTTTACTAAAAGTATGACCATTTAACACGAATCTAAACTTAAAGCCTAGACTATTCCACTATCAATGTTACAATTTCATGGATTCAGAGTGAGATGAAATATCTCTGGTATATTTGCGAATACTGGTGATGGTCAGGCTATTGGTGAATTATTGCTGTTAATTGTTTTTTTAATAACGGGTATGTAAAAAATAAAAATAACCGAAACAATAACATCACTGAAAGTAACTTTATTCTACAAAAATTAATGATAGCTTATTGGAATATAATTAATATATTCCAGTGAAACTTTTTCTGTCAGTCCAATATCGACCAAATTCTCATTCTGGAATACGAATTATTCATATGTTAACGACAAAATTATAAATGTTCACCAAATTATCAATTTTTGAATAAAGTATCACTTTCGCCTTGGTTGATGTCTACTGCAGTCGTAGAGGAAACGTTGAGCTTGAAAATCTGCAGACTATACCAACAATGTTTTTTGTTATCCAGATATAATAATCTGTCAATAAATATTTGGAAACATTTTAGACAGCATGTTTCTCCAAGCAAGCTATGCCAAGTTTTTATTATGCATTGTGTTTAATCCTCCTCTTGAAGATAATCACTTGGTGATTGAAACACGTGTCGAGGTGTTGAAAATAACGGTTTGGTGTTGGGATGGAATTCCGTTACTACACCAAAGGTTCCAAACGATGCATCACAGGTTAATTATGGGATTTACATTTATTATTTCGGAAAACACAAATTTTAAGCTATTTTTGGCAAATTTTTCATCCCTCAGTGAGAAAAAATATGTTTCATTTGTACATAAAAAAAATTAATGTAAAAGAGTTTGAGGAAAAACATCAAGAACAAGTTATCAACCAGCCACCGGTTTCAGCGAATAATTTTAACTATTTTAGACAACAGCTAAAGTGGTATTATGAAATCATAACTCTGTATCATAAAGAATGTTTTTTTTTAACAATTTGCCCCCTTCCAAAAATCGCAATCCTCAAAAGTCGAAACTTTTGCTAGTCAAGGATCAACTGAGTCACTTTTCATGTTTATGCGATTGCAGTCGAGATTTTTTAGATATTTGTCAATTTTTCTGTTTTGCCATTCAAC